AGGTTGGTTCTGTCACCTAAGGTGCTGCCTTGTAGCAGTCATTTCTTCACTATCGTGAGAGCTTCAGTTGTTGGAATGCAAGGGAAGAGGGAAGTCACATCATAGGAAACCATGGTCTCATCCAGGTCCAGTTTTAGTTTCCAAACCTTGCTGGCAAAGTCCTGTGAATTGTTGATGTGATGGGTGGTGTGGTCAACTAGAGCAGGGGTGTCAAACTTGCAATGTCATGTGACGTGTTGCAATGTATCACAATTTTTTTCCCATTGCCGGCAATGGGGTGGGCACAGTTTCGCCATGACGCATCTGGCCCGCAGGCTGCCAGTTTGACACCCCTGGAACTAATAAGATGGTTAGTTGTTTGGCAGTGTTGTAGGTGACAGAATTGATGCTGCTGACAATTGGTCTGAGTGGAGTTCCCTCTTTGTGGATTTCAATAAAGTACAGTTATAGTCTTCCTGTAATTTCTAATCTGGACCTATCTCATAGGACTTATTTATTTTATTAAATATACATGCCATCCATCTCACTAATGAAGCAACTCTGGGCAGCTTACGAAATAATTAACTGTGCCTGTCTTAAGTTTTGGAGAGGTTTGGGTCTATTTTTCACACCTTTGTAATTTATTGTTGTTAGTCCTCTTATTAAATCTATTGTCTTCCAATAACAACTCCTGTTGAAGAAATTATAAAATCATTGTATACTCCCAGCAATCAAAACAGTACTGGGAGGCAGCAACCATTGGGTGTTGAAGGGTTTTTTTTTTTTTGCTGCCAGTTCATCTCTATGCTGCATTGGCTATATAAATGGGTTTACCATACTAGCTGATTTTCATACTATGACCTTCTTTTTAGTTTTCTTTTCCCTTGGCAACTCTTATGCTTTGTTCACATAATCGTTACAGTGAGTGATGAGATCCAACCAGGGCTACACAATATAGATACCTTTTGTTAGATAATAATATGAGGAGCTGCAAGAAAGGAGTTTTTATTAGTCTTAACTCAGCAGGTATTGATTGGGGTAGAGAAAGAAAATGGAGGATCAATATATTAGAAAGCAAATGGCAGCTGTAGAAAATGTAAATCAAAGCTCTGTTTTTTACAATCTAAGAAACTATGAGCTGCCCTTTACAGTTTCACTACACCACACCAAAGAGTGTTTCAGAAAGTAGTAATTTGTCTCCCTTAATAGTATAATTTCATTTGGGAATGAAAGACTAGAAAAGAAAACTATTAGGTTCTTGTCACCTATGGGAAGGAAATTAGAAATGGCACTGGTATGACACTCAAAAATATCATTACACCTTAATACTAGAAAGGAGTAAAACCTGAATAATTTCATAACCTCAACAGAGATTGGCAGATTAAAATAAATTAATCTAGATGCAAACTTTATTGCAGTGTTATATGAGTTATACCAAAATTTAGTGATTCTTTTTGATTTGCAAAACACATTTTACACATCGCTGGTGGCTTTGATTAAGAGGTACCTGTACCTTTTGCCAATATTCATTTTTATTTTACAGTTTTAATAAAAGGACAGGATGTCATATATCAGGAATAACTAGCCCAAACTATAAACAGTAAAATATAAGCACAAAGGAGAGACACATACAGAAGAAAAAAGAGAGAACTAGGTATTTCAGCAGTGAATAACAGGAAGGACAAATATGAGTTCTCTTCAATAGACTTAGGAAATAGAAGTTTTAAATCAGAAAAATTAAAAATACAAAAATCAACACTGGTCTTTATAATGGATAAACTCCCTACTTTGAAATAGTTAACTCTTGACCATAATGAAAATATTAAATAAATTAAGAGAGGCCTTATTCTACATGGGTCAGTGCACAATTTATCAATAAATGTGCTTACTATAATACAGTAGTAAAAATCTTCTTGATTTTCTTCATACAGTTTCCTTTCATTAGGTTGAAGGCTATACAGTATAGAACAGGGGTCCCCAACCCCCGGTCCGTGGACCAGTACTGGGCCGCAGCATGCCAGCAACCGGTCCGCACAAACAAGTCAGGCAGCACACAAAACTACGCCCCCTCCGATCTGCGGAAAAATCTCTCTCCATGTAACCGGTCCCTGGTGCTCAAAAGGTTGGGTACCTCTGGTATAGAATATATCATGGTGTGTGTTCTGGCTAGACCTTGGTCCAATTGAAAACATATCTGTACCTCAGTTTCACTATTAAATTTTAGATAATTCAGATTTGTACAGCATCTTTAGTTCACAGTTTTCTGTTTTCTTATCTATACTTTTAAAAGCCCAGCTATTCCTTACACAAATGAATTTAAGAACAACTCTATTTAAGAACATTTATTTGGTAGCATGTTAATGTTACTATGATTCTAGCATGATGCCTAAATGACAAATAGCATGTCATGTTAAACAGTTTAATATCCTTACTAATTTTACCATTATAATTTGCATAATAGTTACCACTAGTCCTAATAGTAAATATCCATTTGCTTCTCTGTGGAAAATCCTTCTCCTAAGATTTTAAAATATAGGGTATGGGGAGCTGTATGAAATCCCAAATGATTTTCAGGACAACTTAAAAAACAGTTTATTCTTTCTATTTATTATGGTTTAGTAATCAGAGCTATTCTGCTTTTGATGTTAATGCTCAATTTTAATGATAGTTTAAATTGCAATACAGGTATTCCTTGACTTACAACAGTTTGTTTAGTGATCATTTAAAGTTACAAGAGCACTGAAAAAAGTGACTTATGACTGTTCTTCATACTTACGACCATTGCAGCATCCCCATGATCATGTGATCAAAATTCAGATGCTTGGCAACTGACTCGTGTATTGCAGTGTCCCAGGATCATGTTATCACCTTCTGACAAGCAGTGTCAATGGGGAAGACAGATTCACTTAACAACAGTGTTACTAACTTAACAACTGCAATGATTCACTTAGCAACTATGACAATAAAAGTTGTAAAATGGGGCAAAACTCACTTAACAAATGTCTCACTTAGCAACAGACTTACAACTGTGGTTGTAAGTTGAGGACTACTTGCATTTTGTGGTCACTTATAACGTCAAAAGGCACTACAGAAATATTTTTAATAAATTGGTGAAAAAGAAAACATTAGTTTGTACTATTTGCTTGGATAGCTAATCTTTGTAGTTGATCTCCCTTTCTTTTGTTTCTTTCTTATGATACGTTTATATTATTTTGTGTTTAAAAAGAAAGTTAGGACTCAAGGAAACTATCACCAGACTATAGTTCCACCATTATCTTTTTACGACAGTTCATATATCATAGACTCATAAAGTTGAAATGTCCTCTGAGGCCATCAAGTCCAACCTCCTTCTTAGGTTAATACCTGATGGCCATCTGGCCTGCACTTAAACACATCCAATGAAAGGATGCCCATCATTTCTCTGAAAAATGTTACTGTTCTTACAAGGAATTTTAGGGAATCAGCCTAATCATGCATTATCTTGTGTTCTGTGCTCTAGGAAAATAAATCCATTATTTTGTATGGTATCTTTTCATGTATTGAAGAGTGTTAGATTTAAGATTATTATATATACAGGTAGTCCTTGACTTACAACAGATCATATAGTGATCGTTCAAAGTTATAATGGCACTGAAAAATGTGATCTATGACTGTTTTTCATAATTACGACCTTTGCAGCATCCCTATGATCATGTGATCAAAATTCAGATGCTTGGCAACAGGTTTATATTTATGATGTTGTAGTGTCCCAGGGTCATGTGATCACCTTTTGCGACTTTCTCACAAGCAAAGTCAATGGGGAAGCCAGATTCACCGAGCAACTGGGTTAACTATACTAACTTACTAACTTATCAACTGCAGTGATTCACTTAACAACTGTGGTAAGAAAAGTTGTAAAATAGGGCAAAACTCACTTAACAAACGTCTCACTTAACAACAGAAATTTTGGGCTCAATTGTGGTCATGTTGAGGATTACTTGTAATAGTTTGGTGCAGTGGTATATTCTAGAAACCAGAAGACTATGAGATCTAGGCTTCCTTTAGGCATGAAAGCTGGTTGGATGACTTTGGGCCAGTTACTCTCTTTCAGTCTGCTCCACCTACCTCCCCATCCCTTCCATCATGGCTCAGTCACTTATCTTTTTGGTAGGTCTTTGGGAAGCAGCTCCTCTACCATGTGATCTTCCTACCCAGTGGAGACCGTGTGGGGCCATCCCAGTAGTGGATACCATTTTGGGAGCAGATGGAATGAATTGGGGCTGCTCCAAAATGGCATCCACTTCTAGGAAGGTGCCACACAGCCTCCACTGTAAAGGGAGGCCAAGAGCCAGCTCTCCTGCCAAACACTATCTCTTTTGATAGAATCGTCATGTAACAATAACATTTCAAGTTGATGATTATTGGCTTGTGATCTGACTGCAGAATTGCACTTTCTGTTGTAATTTTAACCAAATGGCTAATCATGATCTAATCAGCTCTGAATTTATCTCCTTCACAACCTTACATTTGCATTTTAGGTATTTAAAACTGATTTTATTTCAGGTTTGCTTTATTGTTTTAGTAATAGATTTTAATTTTGTTTATCATCTTTGAGATTGGTCTGCCTCCCACAGGAAGAAAAAAGGACTGAAAACTCTAGTCATATGTTTATATGTTACATAGAAAGGTGACTGAACTATTTAAATTATTTTGCTTTTTGCATTTTTACCCTTTAATCACCAGAAAAACATAACAGGTTATGAGAGCTACCCTCTCACACAAAAAAGGTATGAGTGAACACCATATGAGGTGACCCCTGGAGGAGATATAGTATCAACTGGAAGTCACAAGGTTTAAGCCAAAGCAGGACGTGGGTCCACGGGGAGGGGACCCAGGGGGCTTCTAGAAGAAGTTCTAAGTCATGTATATTTATATCTTACAGGATCCATTACTCTGGAGTTCTGTCATTCCACTGTTATTATTGAACTACACTGCAATTCTGTAACTAAACATTCTATCCCTTCCTTTATTTTTATTTTTAGGGATGCGGCAGGGAAATGATGTTGGGACACAATATCGGTCTGCCATCTATACAGTCACCCCAGAACAAATGGAGTCTGCCTTGAAATCTAAAAGTGATTACCAAAAGGTAAGGATAAACGTAAAATGCTTCCAGGTCACCTTGCAATATTCAGGCTGAGAAAAGCCATTACAACTTATCCTCTCAATTTATGTCTACAATTGGAACTCAGTTGTTGAGTGAAGTAATTAAGAAAGCAAAACATTTCCCTGCTGAAAAAGGGCAGATAGCTCTTCTTGAAGCATGGAAGTAAACCCGTGTGCTGGGCGGGAGAAATGAGGCACAAAGATTACTACTTTGTTTTTCCACTACAGTGCACAGGTTCCTTTCTCCTACGTGTACAGAAGGGAGCTCATGCACAGAGCTAGAGAGATGGGGATCATGTAGCTCAACAAACCATTTCTGTCCCTTCCCCTGCCATACATGGAGGAGAGGGGATTCTTTGGCATGTGGCAGCAGCTTGCAACCTTCCCTGTCAGCTTCCCCATTGTCCTGGCAGAGTGGCAGAGAAGATTGCAAATGATGATCACATGACCGCAGAGCATGTGCACATGTTGCCAAGCACCCAGATCACAAATACATCACAAACACAAAGTCATGTTTTATGATGGCTGGAAGTGCTTGACAGACTGTAAAGCGGCCTTTCATGCCATCATAACCTTGAATGGTTGTTAAAGTACTGGTTGTATGCCATGGACTATCTTTATCAGTTTTGTAGCAACTAGCCTAGGGATGGGCAATTAATTTTCTGAAAGGGCCAGACGAGAAACTGGGCCTATTGTGGAGGATTGCTGCTGCCCCACCTCTGCCAATGTTGCACTGACACCCCAGTGCTGACATTGCCCTATACCCTAACCTCCAATGCTGCCCTGCAGTTGACACTGCTGATGCCCACTCCTTGCCATCAATGCCATGGGCCAGAGTGGGACCGCCTTCATGACACCATGAAGATTAGCTATGTATTTTATTTCCAATCTCACTGTTAAGATCAGTGTATTTATATCAGATATTATTTTAGCATTGCTGTACTTTTTCAAGCTATCGTTCATAATGAAGAGAAACTAAATTTCATTTTTGATGTGTGCCGTTTTGCCCACAGTAAAAAAATGACAATAAAGGTTATCTTATCTTATCTTATCATTCAGAATCATGAATATCTTCCAGTATTGTTTGCTGTCTGTTTGAATAGCTAATAGCTGGAGACTCTTTATAAAATATGTGATGACTGACATCACTACCTTTGAATTTTCTTTCCGCAAGGGACAGCAAGCAAAGTAAAATATCAGCAGGGAGATTTGTTGGCTAATGATTTCACTTCAGTTAGATATAAACAAAAGAAGAATGGGAGACAGTGGCAAACATGTAACTCTCATAATTGCAAGCTTGAGTTGTTTATTCACTTGAGAACAATTTTACTTTGTAAAATGGTATAAAATATTTTATATATTTACATAGTTAGGAATGTAGGATATTTTCAAATCAAGCTCCCATACAGTGTATAAATCAAGTCAAGTGACATAATAAATTCTAAAATTCATGTACTTTTAGTTTTTGTATTTATCCTGAATATATTGATTATATTTGAAATAGCGGAGATAGCAGCAGGTAATGGCATGGGAAAAAATGGTGGTCTGCTACTATGTTAATGTCCTTTCCCAAAATCTCCTTCTCATTAATTCCCAGTGAACTATAAACTTTATTCTAAGGAATCCCTGCATCATTATTATTCATTCCCCTCCCAAGAGGACTAAGGATGGTCCTCATTAATTTATATTGGGTTTTTTCCCTCTAGTTTTATGTGCAATTTTTGGGAGATGAGTTTAAGTTTGAAAAATGTTTTTTTTTCCTTGCCCCAGGAAATCTTTCTGGTTGTATATAGAAAGGAAGTTTTTTTAAAAATGGGGGAAGGCTTGCTATCTGTATTCTTACAGATTGTCAGCAATATTCTGTGAAAAATAAAGCATATTAAGTTTACATTTTACAAAGTGGCAAACCTGAGTCTCACTTTAGCACTCACATAACTGAGATTTGATCTCAGCAACTCTTCTCTACTTCCTCCTGGGCTTAGACCACAGCTGATCATGCTATCATTGTCTGTCTCTTTTGGCCTGTCAACTTGGAGAGAGAAGTAGTGCCTTGTGACTGACTGTTATAAGGTCATCTGTGATCGTGACAACATTGGTACTTTAATCAAATTTTTGTTTGTCCATACTTTTCCCTCTTTTGTTTCCTACTATTTCATTCTTGATGTGCTAGTTTTTCATAAACAAATTTTATGGGTAGGTATTTAACCCATTTGAATGAAAAGAATTAAGATGTTTTGACAAACAAAAAGGTTGAAGTGGTTCCAAGCATCCTAATCAGACCCTTTCTCTATATCTCTTTTTCTCAATATAGCTTAATAATTTGCATCTTAGTTTCTCCAGTCACATGCAAGACGTTTTTTAGAAGGTCAGATCACTGAGAATTATTCATATAATTTTTTACATTATCAGTTTTGTCTATTGAATTTAAATAATATGGAGTACATTCAGAAATAAGTCTTAACTGAGATCGAAAGAATTTTGTCCTGGGAATTGACAGTACAGGATTTAAGCTTTAAATATTTAATTCAAGTCAAGTTATCTCTCTGTAATCTGGCTGTTTTAAAATCACCTTTTTGTATATTTAATCTGTAATATGTGAGCAACTTATGCAGATAGTTATTTCATTTGCTTGTTGTTTGGTAGGTTGAAAAGCAAAGTGGGGAACTGTCAATCATTTTATAAGTTAAATAAAATAAGCTTCATGTGGGCATTCTCCCCCATTGGTGTGATTTTTCCTACCTTACATCCAGAAATAAGAGTCTCCGTAGAGTTATGCTGTGGGTCTCTTATCTTTAGAAAACTTTGGAAAGTATGTGTTGTGTCCCGTGCCTGCAGAAGCAGGCGCGGGAAGTTGCAAGAGTCCCGGGCATTTGCAAAAGCTGCCCGGGACCAGACTGACCGGCGCCGGCCTTGCGCACATGCGCAAGGCGGGAAAGGACTGCCTTGTGACTGGTTGGAATTGCCCGGGGATTGGAGGGTATATATAGAGGCTTGCGCGCCTCTGGGCTTGTCGTTGTTCGTAGAATGGAAGCAGAGAATAAAGACTTGTTAGAAATGCTTCGGCTCAAGCGCCATTATTCTCCGGACTTAACAGTATGTATTTGCCACATAATTGTTTTGGATAGTTCCTATAGACTAGAGGAAGGCAGGCATGTAAACATATGTTTCACCTATGAAGTATTTTGCTCATTGTTTCATAGGTTGTGTTTAGGTTTTATTTATTTACCATCTTAATCATACTTTTATGTCTAATTTACTCTGCATCCTACTTATTTTCTGTACATCTATTAATTTATTTACAGAAATGTTCAGTAATTTTTCATCTCTTGCAAAATAGAGTGAGTCTGTCTCTCTCTCTCTCTCTCTCCCTCCCTCCCTCCCTCCCTCCCTCCACTATAGGCTTTCTGAAAGATTCAGAGATAGACTAATTTTACAAGGTTCCACGAGGATTGCTGCTGTGTGTAAAAGATGCACAGCATGTTGCAACAACCAATCATCCCATGGTGGTTTATTGTCAAGAGAAAAATACATTGCAAGTGGGTGCCAAAAAGATACAAATTCCCAATCCAAACACATTATTAGGATAAGTCAGGATTCAAGTGCTATAACTGACTGGGGTATGAATTGATGGTCCATTTGCTGTAGGGCCATTTACTGTAAAAATGCAAGGTTATGACATGAACTCAGAAGGAAGGGAAGAGATGTGTATTTGCAAAGTCTGCATAACAAAGATAAAAGAAGCTTGAGTATGGACAGGTGGGGCCCCTTCCAATGTAGAAAACAAGAGCTGACTATCAGGCATATCATACAAGACATATTGCTAAGATAAGGAATAGGGCTAAGACAGAGCCAATAGAAGACTTGCTATTTTTAAGAATAGGGTTGAAGTAGAGCCAACAGAATACTTGTTGGATAATTTTTGAAGCATTTACTAGTTAAGACTTAGATATAGGGATGGTGTAGAGCAGACATGTGAAACTCGCGACGTCATGTGACGTCGCGCAATGTATCGGAGCTTTTTTGCCATTGCCGGCAATGGGGTGGGCGCGGCTCTGGTATGATGAAACCGGCCCACGGGCCGGCAGTTTGACACCCCTGGTGTAGAGCCAATGAAGGACACTTCTGGTAACTTTTAAAAAGCCTATTAGGCAATGTTTCTTTATCCCGCCTTGAAAAACTGTATAAAAGCTTGTTGAATCCTTTGTTTTGGATCCTGGCATTTTCTGGCCGGGACCCCTTCAATAAAAGGAAATCAATCCTGCACGTTATGTCTGGTAGTTGGCTTTGGCACCAGGCTAAGACCCAAATTTGGGCACAACAGAATGGTCAGGATATTTTGTGGAATGTACCTTTGGTTTAATTTCTCTGCACTTTGTATTCGTATTACATTCTGCAATGGCATTATGTAACACCATGAGTTAGGTGTTACATTCCCTCTTCTTTGTGTTGGTATAATTCTTTTTTTAAAAACCTATTTCAGTTAATTATATTTCGACAGATCATCCACCACTCCAAATTCATTATTAGCGCTTCCACATGTGCAAATTGGTGTTAGGCGTCAACTTAAGCAGCAAATAAACATTCACATTATTCATTGGCATTTTATTACTGCAAAAATGAGAAATAGTGCTGTGATTGACTTGCCACCTCCAAGAAATAGTATAAAAATTCAGAATTTTGGCCAAGGCAGAACTTGATTTATTTAATTGCCTTCTAGTGTCGCTAGCACATGTCTACAACATTGAGAGAACAGTTTATATTGCCCTTTTTAAAAAAAATAAATTTTATTAAAAAAATTAAAAGGAACATAAATACTAACACAAACTAATACAAAATAGAAACAATAAAGGGAAAAAAACGAAAAAATGAAACTGCAGTAAAATGAACAAAAATAAATAGAAAGAAGCTCTGCAGCAAATATTTGGACAAGGGGATAGATGGGGAACTCATCAAATTTGCGGATGACACCAAGCTGGCAGGAAT